ACATCTACCGTGTTTATTTTGATATTATGGAAGTTTCATTTTTTTTCAATCAATTTCTTTCGCCCAAAGCATGTCGTGTAAGGAAGCCAATCATAATGAAACGTTTTAAAGCTTTCTCAAAAGTACTTTAAAGAAATGTAAGCACACAATCGTGGGTAGTCATCTTTCATTGCGATGTTTTATTTCACTTAATTCTGAAATGTAATTTTGCAGCTCACTCTGACGATCGTAAAACGATTAACCAAAAATAAGCATGCTCCCACTTTTACAGTTTGAACATAATTATGTTTTTTTCCCAATGCGCATTCGGAAAGCACTTTCTCTCCCGCGAGTTAAATTAGCCAATTGCAAGAGAACGCATCCTTGAATGTCATGAACAGATGAGGCGTTGTGAGCAGCGTAGGTGAACGCAGCATTTTTACGTTCTCGCACCTTCGTCATGAGAAGAAAGAGTTACGTAACTGGAAATGCACTGGAAATCGAAGAAATTTCAACAGAAAAATTCTTATTGCCGAGCCTGGTAACGAAAAAGTGGAAAAATCCTGTTTCTAAATAGAATAAATTACTTCCTTTAATGGTTTGGCCAGAATCCATGTTTTGTGGGTCCGCCCGTCCGCCCAAAATATAGACAACTTCAACTTTTTAAACAATATCTTTTACAATAACCGCTCCAATTTTTTTCTTCAAATTTTCTCATGTATGAAGAGACGATGCAATATACGGTGGTAATCCCATTTTCGGCAAACTATCCGTTCGAAAATTGCAAAAAGTTAGCATATCAAAACTACAAAATTGAAGAATGAGATTTTTGAATTAGACCAAGTATGTTTTAGAAAATCAGATCTTTAAAAAATGTCATGTACAATTGTTTAAAAAACTAGTAGATTTCGCCTAATTCGTGTCTTAAATTTACGAAATTTCTACAAAAATAATTATTATTCTCAAAAACAACTTCAATTTTTTTCAAATACTTTCCACTTTTTTAAGCAGAAGAGACGCTTAAAAGAATTGCACTATATTTGCCTCGGTTTTGTTGAACTCGCTGAATTTTCGAAAATTGCAAAATTAGAATATACTTTCTTCGCATTATTCTGTAGTACTATCACTAGTTTATATATATACTATTGTGAAATACACTAGTGAGAGAAGATAGTGACATCCCATGCTCAATTGAGAGAAAATAGTGAAAATTAGAGGAATAACTCTTTTCTCGTAGAAAGTACTACGTATTTCATAAGAGCGATGTTTTTTGCTGAAATTGCCATTGATGGAAAATGATGCTAATTCTTGAGTTTCTTGAGTTGATCCTAGAGGAGTCGCAAGCTATCCCCGTCGCGCAATGCGCATCGCCCTGGGCGCACGTGCGAGTGACGAAGGCGAAGGCGGGTCGCGGGGTGGGGGAGGATCTCCACGTTGAGACGTCGCACGAGCTCCGTGGGACGCGGCGCGAGGGCTCAACTGTTGAGGGCGTCTAAGCTCTCAGGAGGCTTAGAGGCGCACAGCCCACGCCGCCGGGGGTGCATCCACACCCAACACAATTAATTACGCTGCGGAGTAATACTCGTTGGCGTACCCGCGCTACGAGCCGAGCCCGCTTTCAATTCTATCAGCGTCTAATCGTTTCACGTAACTGAGCGAACGCGAGATGCTGTCATGAAATGTTATTTGATAATACAGATGTTCCATATGGGACACACGGATACACTTCTCCTGCGTCCTGTGTACGAACACTATAAATCAAACTCTTCAGCCTCGTACGTACACTTTAAATGATACTTCAATTTTGCACGTACGTACACATTAAAAGAAAAGTATTCACTTCATTACAGTATGAGCATTAACTCCAGTTAAATTACAGTACTTTCATTTTCCCACGACAAAAGTAAACTTCAGTAAAAATAAATGTTATATTTAACTCATATTTCTCTCTTTTTAGCTTAGGTACAATTTCAATTTACCTCTACCACCTTGAAAAAGTCTCTGCATAATTCTAAGGGGGGATATTTTTTTTTCAAATAAAGATAAAAATCATAGTAAGCAAATTAAATTTATATAATTAATTTTATTACGATACTCAAAGCATAATCAAAATTCATATATTTTTCAACCAATTAAACCTTAACCAACCAATCTTAACCTATTTCTAATTTGTGTGTAATACTTTTTTTTTCAAGTAAACTGAGAATGGAACGTGATTCTCAGTAGGGAGCATGCCAAAAACACAGCATCAAAATAAGTTCATCCATTATAAATTTTAGGAATAAAACGAGCATTCATTTTGAAGCTTTCCTCACACACACACACACATACATGTGATATGTTGTTTATCCGCTAGATGGTGAAAGGAGCGAACCAAAATTTGCGTGGCCAGACGAAAGAGCAGGCCTGATAGCCTTGTATAAGAAGGTATGAACCGAGCATGCTCAATGTACAAATGCAACGCGAACAAACGTTTAAAAGTCAAGGTGAGTTACTCGTACTGCAAGGACTCCGTCAATGGTAAGGTCGCGACTTGCCGTTATACGCATCGCTTTGGGGCCTATTTCGAAAGGTCTCGTTCCAAGAACTCGTCTATTGTCTCCGTCAGAGAATATAATTTATAGACTCCTATTATCTGCAGCACTTGTGAATGCCACTTTCAACTGACACTCACCACGAAGCTTTCAAAGCACGGAGTTTAGTTAATTGCCTTTCACCGCGTGTTGCACCTTGAAGTTCTCCTTGAAAATTTATTACTCACATAAGAGAAAATCTTAAACAGACTAGTTGGCGTTTTCTTCGTAAATAGTGAATTTGGGTAATCTATGAGTTTAATAATTGTAAACATTCCACGATACACGTTTACAATAAACAAGAAGAGTTAATTTTAATACTTAGACTTCAAAATTAAAAATTACACGAATACATACACGATGTATATTTCTGATATGCAGTTACACTAACGGCATTTTAAATCACAAACTATGATTCAAGAGTAAATGAGACAAAGATTATCAACTATTGTGTCGTTCACCGTTGTAAAACCATCACTTGTTCCACGTATTCACATGCTACTATCTTAGGTATGTATAGCACAAATCTTTGGTTACGCTGAAAAAAGTTCATAACAATCAGAATTTGTAAAATGACATTAGAATAGAACATGGGGGCATTAGAATACGACGTGGAGAGAACGAATAACTACACGAGCAGTCGAAAATAAAAGGGAAATAATTAAGTTCACTGTTGTGACTGATTGAGTCATATGGGTTTCAAAATATGCAGTAAGTTGATAAAATTATGTGTTATACATTCTCAAATGTAGAATTGACAGTTACATTCGTTTACTTCACAATTAGTTACACACTAATTTATTCCTTGTGCCAATATTGTTAATGCATGACGTGCGAGACCCAACGGGACGGTGGAAATCTTGCGACAAGAAAGAACAGCTTCTTTTCTCTTCTTGTGAGCAAAGGTAATGAAGAAATTATTGGAGTGTTGCGCAATTCGCTTATCAGTTAAGCGCGTGCGTGTATGGGGCTAGCATGTGCCAGCGCTGCCTCTCCGGACATCGCTATGGAGCACAAGCGAATTTGGTAGGAAGTGCAATGAATTTCGCGCAGTCTTTTGCATTGAATCACAGGGTGCAAATATTCGGTCTCTTGAACGTAGGCCTTTGTTTTGCGTAGGCAATGCGTGGCCTTCGGCGATTACGTTTTACGAGTCATGTTGCGAAGCGTTCTGATACTAGTAAGTATAAGTACTTCACAAGCGTTCTGAGCTCACCGATTATCACCTCCACCGATTGTCCATCTTCCCGCCCACTCCAGCCCACCCG